AAAAAATGCACCTTGTGCCTGAATAAACACTTTAGCAGCACCAAATCACCCAAATGCAGTGAATTTTCAGCGCCTGAATAAACACTTAACAATTAGGTTTTTATTCATTCTTTAAAAACATAAATTTTTCCTTTATCCACATTCAAATAATAAAAATATAGAGAAAAAATATTGAGTGAGCAAGGTTATCATCAAAACAGAAAAAGAGAGAGAGAGAGAGAGAGAGAGAGAGAGAGAGAGAACACGTCTATTAATAATATGGGCCAAAACACGTCTCTCAAACTAAAAAAGACATCAGCGCAAAAAATAGACAAAAAAATAGTAGAAGAAAAACGTTAGGCCCAAAGTTAACCTAAATTTGATCAAAATTTAACTTAATATTGAGTTCTAATATCACGTGTCGGGTTCTCACTTACCCGATTATACCATGATTACCACAATGACGAAGCTCCCAGAAGAAACAAAGCAAATGAGATTTGACGAACTCAAAATGCAATTCGAACCTTATCATGGGGAGGTGGCAGTGAAGTTAAAGGAAAAATTGAAATGCCGAAAAGGCATGAGATGCCACATTGTGAAATTCAGAAATTCATATAACCCATGTGAGATTCATAATACACTGCACAAACCCTCTGTCACCTAAACTATAACTGAGAAATCAAAACCATAATATTTGCATATATCTAAAAATCAGTACTTGGTGTGTTTTAAGATAGAGATCACTACTCTATAATTCGAGCATTATACCAGGACAGATTAAAGTAATGCAGCTTGGTACAATTTTAATTTTCATGTTAAAATCCTATCAATCATCTCTACCCAAAGTCAGAGTAACAAACTCATATCCCAATACAAAACCACGATAGGAAATAAAGATACATGATTAAAAAAAACAATTGCAATAGAGATCTGGAAACAAATAGAGAGTTATCAAGACAAAATCTAAAATTACTCCCAGGCAGTCGTCAGTGAAAATGTCAAGTAAACACTTCAATATAAAAAGTAGTTTTTCTAGAGCAAGCCTGTAATGCCTAAACTTCTCCAAAAAGTTCAAATTAACATGACAATTTGGTTTCACTTCAAGTCCAAAATTGTACCAACTTCATCCAAATGCACATAAAATTAAGAAAACCATAAAAAACCAAAAAGAAATACCAAATACCCATCAAACCTAGTAAGGTTCTAGTATTAACTGTAAAACCCGGGTAAATTTGAACTTTTTATAAAAAGTGGGCAAAACGATAATTTGTCACTACGATACAGGTCGTAAACTTGAACTTTTTAGAACTCAAATGATGAAACGGATCTTACCGTTAGATTCGTCTCGTGAAATCTAACTATCTTGTCAAATTTCATCGAGTTTCAAAATAGTCAGATTTTTCACGTTTTACGAGGCGGTCCAGTCTTGGGTGACCCAAAAATAGAATTTTTAATAAAATTTTGAAATTTAAAAAATAAATTGAGACAAGTTAAAATAAAAATATTTTGAACTTAAACTGGAGTAAAATTTAATCATTTTATGGTGAAAACAGACCAAAAAAAAAAAGAGTCGTGTGGCGGGTTGTGGGCCAAGTAAATTAAGAAGTATATAAGGGGAAAAAATCTGATTTCTCCCCCATATTCATCAGCCGGTTTTCGTTGGAGAAGAAGAGAGGGAAAAAAAGATGGCTTCTCACTTCTCTTTACGATCTATGGCCTTACGGTGCTCAAATCCACTCAGGCCAAAAAGGAAAGTTGTTCTTCTTGTCGAGAGCTACAAGACCATACCAAAAATCAAAGATTTCACCAAAGCTTCAAAAATGGGATTTGGAGAAAATCAAGGCCAAGGTTCCATTGGTGTTCTTGAAAGTCTTCTAAGTTGATTTCACGGTTCAAAAGGTAGGGTTCGTTCCTATTTTGGTTTATTTTCTAACTTAAGGTGGTTATATGGAATGGTAGGTTGATAGAGTTATACATCACTTGCCTCTTGTTGTGAAAATGATGAAATGATTATTGAAAAAGGATATAAAAATGGTTTAAAATAAATTCTTAGCTTGAAATAGATATGTGGTAATTACTTGTGAAATTTCATGAAAATTGGTATCATGTGGGCATACTATGTGCTTATATTGTACCTTTGTGAATGAAGTGTGTTATTGGCATGAATTATGAAATAACATGCTTGTGATTGTCTTTGGGCATAAAATGTTGATTTATGTTTATTGATATATTGACATTGTGATAGATAATGGTGATTATATGTTTGAGATATAATGTAGATATGTGGTTAAATTATCTATATGACATTCATTACATATGGGGCATGACATTGATGTTGCAATAGTGCATTGCATTGCATTTGTACGGAGGCATCACATCCATGGGTATGAGACATGGGTGTGGGTGTGTGTGAGTGTGCATGGTTTAATCAAACACCATACTTGGTGGTTGATGGGTAGGCTCAAAAAAGTTGGATTGAAGATCCGATTGAGTCGCACAGTTGCATGAAAAACTTGTGCCGGGTATAACAAGAAGGGTTAAACTCTCCATCGGGTGTAAGACCCGCTTACCTAGTTCATACACTCCGCTAAGATGAAATTCTGGAAAAGTGTATCGGTGTACGGAGTTGGCGGTGCAACACCGAAAAATCCGCTACCTAACAAAGACACATGATTTTGTTTTATAAAATATCTGGTTCGTATATTCTCCTGAGGTGAAATTCTGAAAAAGTGTACTTGTTTTATAAAATAGTCATTTGATGTGTAACATCCAACAATGATTTGATTTTATAAACACATGAATTTTAGTTCAAAATGATCATTGAATGTAATTCATCAATGTCGAGTCTTTTCTTCATACATTGACATTGCATTATCTGGTAGGAGTCAATAAGGGCTTGGGTTAAAGGGCATGAGTGAGTCTCATCTCATTTCATGGCATGACATTGCTAAAATTCTAACATTGAATAATATATTATTGTTTGGGATGTTGTTGCTTGTTAAATGTTGCATGAACATTTCATATACACATAGGTTAGGGAGTAACCTCTGTAGGAAATACGCTACTGAGCGTGGCTCACTCTATACGGGAAAATATTTCAAGTGCAGGATATACGTCGATAGACGGTTCTCATTCGGGGCCTAGAGGATGAAGAAAGGCCGACTTGTGGCCTTTAATCTATGTTTTGTAAAATATTGTGAAATTCATGTTTTGGACATGTAATCTTTTGAAAATGATTGTAAGAGAACTTGTTCTTTACTAGGTTGATTATAAATGTAGTGTTATATGAGTTGGATGGAAATAATTTGTCTTGAAATGAATTGAAAATGAAAAACAGGTGAAACAAGTAAATCTGGGCAAGACCTACCAGTAGATCGCTGTCCAGTGGACAACACCTACCTGTAGGATCTTGTACAGGCAGAATTTCGTATATCAAGCAAAACCTGCCGATAAGACCTATCGGTAGGACTTTTCCAGTGGGAACAACCTACCAGTAAATTTTTCAAAAATCTGAAATTTTACAACTGCTTTGTCATACTTTTGGGCTTTGGATTCTTTGGTTCCAAAGATATAAATGGACATAAAATAAGAATAAATTGTGGTATATCGGATCTTGGTTGGTCAAATGGTATAATGTACTAGGGTTACACGTGTGGGTGATGATCCAGGTTAAAGGGATGCTAATGACATAATGTCAGGTTGTGCGACAATCACGGGTACTTCTGCGGATTAACAGTGGTCAATAGTTGAAAAATGACCCCCAATTTAGGGGCGTCAGATTAACTTTTCAATAGCTNTGACATAATGTCAGGTTGTGCGACAATCACGGGTACTTCTGCGGATTAACAGTGGTCAATAGTTGAAAAATGACCCCCAATTTAGGGGCGTCAGATTAACTTTTCAATAGCTCAACTTAACTATACATATCAAACCAAATCAAACCAAACTTCAAAATCACAAAACCAAATATAAATTTCAAAATATTTTTTGTTAAAAACTCATATCATACAAAACCAATGCACTTATGCATAATATTACCATCACGCAACAAACAAAAGTTTTACAACTCTAATCATTAATCACCCAAGAGTTAAAGCTCAGTTCTCCACTTTTGACCATAAAACATACATAGAAGGCGGAGCCAGAGAACATGAATAAAATGCAATGGAACCCATAGATTTTGAGAATAAAATGGGGTTAGCTTAACATTAAATCCACTAACACTTAAAGATCACTTTGACAGAAGCTTAAGAAACACCCTCATGTGAAGTATTAGCAAAAAAATGAGTGAATGTTACTGAATGACATGTGTATGAAGTAGCAGCAAACAAATGCAATGACAGAATCAAAAGTCATGCTCCTATGTTCATTTAGGCTTTACTTTGCATACTCCAACCTATCCTTACCTACTAAACGTCTTTTTTATACTACACAAAAGCTATAATTTGTAACCTTAAGTTATGGATTTCAAAACCGAAAAAAGATTTATACGTAGTTGTTAATAGAGTTGAAGCTATCAAATTCTGAGGAGTCGGCAGAGCCAATCCGAATTGATCTTGTAAAAGATCAACAAAAAAATTTCAACAACCATCTCAACTCATTGAACCATGGTATAAGCAATGTAAAAAAAAAACAAACTTATATTGCAGATGAAAAACGAAACTTATTTAGAAACACCAACTGGGCGCCTAAACTGAGCTTGAGTGGTAAAAATGCATTTTAAATTGCAATGGAACCCATAGATTTAAAAATGCAAATTTAAAAATGAACCATAGATTCAATAGTGATCAGACCAATTTGATTGAAGTCGAGTATTATGATGAAGAGATTGGATTGGAGTCAGAGAGCGTGAATTTTGATTTGATTACTTACTACAACTAGCAATTGTCGAAGCCACTGGACAAAACATTTTTGGCTTGGCAACTCATCGAACAGTTTATGTGCAGGGCAACATTTTGAGAATGTTATCATCAAACCAGAAAAAAAATAGAACATGACATACCTGAGAGAAGGAAGCAACAATGACTGAGGGGAGAGAAACCCAAACAGGCAGAGAGGGAGAGCCTGCCAAGCAGAATAGGCAGGGAGATAGAGAGCAGCGGCTGAAAGTTCTTAATTATGATTTTGGCAAGCCATTAGGGCATAAATTGGGTGGAATTTTTTAGAGATCTGCATCAAGTTTGTTAAGCTTTTTTTTAGGGGAAATATGCAGCGGGTGAATGGTATTTGATTTCATTGCTTAAAATTTCGGGGGGAGAGAAAGATTGGGTGGGTGGGGGGAGTAACTATAATTTAGCAAAGAGAGAAAGCGTGAATTAAGTGGGAGTTAATTTGCCCAAATTAACTACCACTGAATTTATATGAGATTTCGTCAAGTGCGTGATTTTGGTAGAATTAAAGATAGAGTTTGTGATTAGCGGGATTTTTTTTTCATAAATGAATATCATGCGTTAGATCAAGAATTTTGAGATGATCTGAGACGTCAATAGCTCGAGATATTTTGGGATAATGTCGATCGTTGGATGATGTCCTTTTTGGTCACGAAACGATCTCAATTGCCCTTTGTCTCCAAAATTTAAATTCGTTCTACTTTATTATAAAGATAAGGACTTTTTGTAATAAAAAAAACTTTGACTTAACTACTTACTAAAAAGATAGGACAAATTGCATAAATGGTCTCTGAGGTTTAACGTTTATCGCACTTTGGTTCTCAAAATTTTAATTATCTCAATTTAATCCGTAGTTCAAACTTTCAGTGAATATGGTCCTTGACACTAACTACCATAAAAAAAAAATGACGAAAAATGTCATGTGCGTAACATGAGAGTATTGATGGGCATTTTTGTCATTGGGCTTTTAAAATCGTAGTGTGCAAATGGAAAATCAAAAGCACTCCCTCTCCCATACACCGTCACCCCTGAATGCCACTAGTAACCCTAAGAAACCTCTGGCAATCCCAATACCCACAACCACATCCCATCTCCCTCCCCTTCCCCTCGATATCCCTAAGCATTGACAGTCATTTAGAGTCATCAATGACTACCCCATCTCTCTCTGTTGGGACTGTCATCAAGCTTCTGATAAAGTAATCCATGGTGGGTAGCCTTAGTAATCTCTATGAAAGCATCAAAAATTTGAACGAAATCTATAGGGAACTCAAGCAGGACAATAACTCTCTCTGAAATCCCAAAATCTTTTTTATTGAAGCTCCAATTTTGTTGCTCGATGATATCCCAGTGACCAAGAAAAAGCTTCATAAGTGCTCGAAGGAGGAGGCAGCAACCAGAGAACTGGGAGGGTTTGTCAAAGGGCTAGTCACATATTTGGTGGCCGATGACTTGGTGATTCAACCTATGTCTACCATCTCTTGCATTAATGTGCTTAAAAAGTTCAATGCGAAAGAAGTGGGTTCTCTTGAGGAGAGGGTTGTTGATTTAGGGATGGATGAGGTTTGTGTTTTGATCCTATACATATATATATATATATATATATATATATTACTTTAGATCATAGATTGGGGGAAATACCAGAGTGGAGACAGACAGAGCTAATCGGAGACAGTCTCTCCCATGTGACTAAGAGGGAAAAAAATAGAGGAAGGAGAAGATGTGTGTTTGGTACCATGTTTATTATAATCTAGATGAGAGATAATGGTGTTTGGATGTAAGAATTGTTACAAAATACCAAAAATGTCCATCAATACTCTCATGTGCCAAGCATATGACATTTTCGTCACTTTTTATAACGGCAGTTAGTGCCAAGGAATAGATTAGTGAAATGATTGAACTTTGAGGATCAAATTGACTAAATTAAAACTTTGAAGACTAAAATATGATAATCGTTAAACCTCAGGGACTATTGATGTAATTTACCCAAAAAGATAAGAGTGGGACTTAACATCAGATATTTTTAAGGGATAGATTTAACTCATTATAAGTTCCCTAAAAATGATTGGTCTCAATTATCAAAAAAAAAACTTTTGATGTGGTTTAACTATATAACTAAAAGGTAAAATGGAAACTAGTACAAATAATTGGACTTAATTAAGCAAAACTACAACAGGGAAAGTTATTTGGGTAAAAATGCATTTTTTAAAAAAAATGACAAAAAGGACATTCCTTAAAAAGAAAGAAGATCAAACCCCATTTGAATACCAAACAACAATCTTGGATCCAATAAGGAATCAAGCAGCAAAAAAAGAAGCATTAAATCGAGTGTCCCTTCATTTGGATTTATGAATAGATTTTTTAAAGATAATACTGAAAAATAATCGTTAAAAATCAAAAGGAGGAAGAATAAGAGATACTATTTTTTCGTAACTGTTCGTGTAACTGTTAGGCATTTTAGTTTGGTGTAACTGTTCTCCATCTCTAGAATCCATTTCTCCGGACAATGAAGTTCGCCTTCAAGGTTTCAACCCCGACTTTTAATAGTTAGTTTTCATTTTTTTTATTGCAATTTCTGTTTGGAAGAACCCAAACTAAAATTAAAAAACAATAACAATTCCAAATGAAAATAACAAAGTTGAATTCTTTGATATTGAATGAATATATAAAAAAATTTAAATTTTAAAAAACACAAATTTTAAACAGTTACACTAATTTTTTATTTGTTGTAACAATGTTGAGTAATTTTATTTGAGATTCAAAGGCATTTGATTCATATATCTGCTTTGAGTAATTGTTTGGTGTTCCAATCAGTATTTTAATCGTCTAACGGTACGAGTTTCTTTGTTTTTTTTTTAGTTTAATTTTTTTGTTTGATAAAATCCAAACCCGTGTTTTGTGAAATGAAAATAATAAAATCTGAAATTTTTTATGATGAATGCATGTATGTGAAATAGAAAAATCTTAAAATTTGATTATTAAACAGTCACACATATATAACTGTTTATTGGTACAATTCTTTTGATACATATTTGCTGTAACTCTTTGGAAACTTTGTTTGTGTAACTGTTTGCTTGCAAATGGTTAACTATTTGATAATTGTTTGATGTAACTCTTTGATAACTAATTGATGTAATTATTTATTGTAATGTTGATATAAGTAGATAAAGAGAGTAACAGTGAGAGAAAATAGGGGATAGAGAGAAAAAAAATACGGGAGAGAGAAAGACAAAAAATTAAATTAAATATTTACATATTTGAAAAGAAACTAAATTATCAATATCAAAGAGAGAGATAGAGAAAATATGGAAGAGATAGAGAGAGTAATGAGAAAATATTCATTGCAAAGGTTATAATATGTCATCACCGCCACATAGTGTCACAATCCAAGTAAAAGACAACAAATAGGTAAAGTGGATCTCACTAATCCTATGTATTTCTGATTGGATGTGGTGTTTACTGGTAGTTATGAAAATAATGGTGTTCGCTTTACATATTTCTAATCTTTTAATTGGATGGTGACACCACGTGACAGTGATGATATGGTGCCACCGTTGCATTAAATATTTACTTGTAACGGAGAGAGAGAGTAACGAATAGAGAAAGAGAGATAAAGATTGAAAAAAATAAGAATTATGCGTAATTTAAGAAAAAGTAAATAAGTAAAATAAATAAAAGATTATTTGAATTTTGTACCTAATTACAAGATGTTTTATTAAAATTGAATTTAATAAAATAAACAACTTATTCATAAATTTATTCTCAAATAAGTCTAAAAAATATTCTCACACCCAAAAAATCCTAACTAAAATTATGAGGCTTTCTCAAATTGTGGGCCCTAAAGCCTAGATTTTGTCAGCTATAATGTTGGGCTGGTCATGTGTACATTTTTACATGACCAACGCTATATAAATCTAATTTGTTAATCTAATAATTCATAATTATTAGATTAACGGTGAATTTTAGTATTTATTAGGACACTCAGCCCGATCCCGTGAACTGGTACCAAAACCTCCGGTGAATTGGTACGTAAACCTGGCCGATTCAACAAGTGGATCGTTTGTGTATCAAACTCAGAATAAATTCACTAAACCAAATAAAAAACCGTTGAACCGTTTAGCCAGGCGAGTTAAACTAAACCGGACACAGTTCATTTAATTTAATTTAGTATAGATAGCTGAGTTTTTGCCCTTTTTTGCATTTTGCCCTAAATCACTTTAGCCTTGGCCTCTGCCTTGTTAACGACTGCCTCTTCCTTGCCCTAAATCGATCCATCCAGACCACCACGCACCATCGACTGAGCAGACCACCACGAGGACCAATGACTGAGCAGCCACTCCACCAGGAACCAGCGACTCCGGCGACTGAGCACAGTCTCCAGTCCAGTGAAGAGGTGAGTTCCCTCCCCCCCTTCTGTCTCTCTTTCTCTCCACCTATATGTGTTTATGTATATATATATATATGTATATATGTTTATGCCTCTGTATCTGTAGTTTGTGTAGGAGAGAGTTCTGTGATATGGTGGTTCTCTTTTTTCTTGACACATATTGTTCTTGGACTTTTTGCACCTCATTGTACAACAATCAAAATGGGTTTGTTCAAAATTTTGGAGGGTCAGGAATATACTATCCATTGCAGCAGGAATACTATCCATTTCAAATTTCTTTTCTCAACTTTTTGCCTTGAGCTGATATAAGACGAATCTAATGTGGGTCAATAGCAAGCCAATTTTGAATGATTTGTAGTTGCTGCAGGAAGTTTATTTCTCACCCGATAAAGCCTACCACATGTTCGATCAAATGCCTCAGTCAATTTTATGAAATGAAACACTGTTTTGGAGCTAAGCAGTGGTTGGAGAACAAGTTTTATTGAAAATTGAATACATTGAAATTGGATACATATTTGATGATTTTTCTCTACTTAACTTTACATGTTGATGTTATTTTTTTTATAATTATTGTGAATTTTTAGCCTCTTTATTAGTATTTATAATTATTTTTTAATTTTTTATTATATTACCATTCCGACCAGTGACCCATTGACCCGGTCTCTGTGCCGGGTTGACGTCTGGGCCGGGTTTTAAAACTATGCTTTCAGAGAAATTTGTCACAAAATTTCCAAAATGATCTCTAATAACCACCCCAATTCCAACCAATTTTTCTGAAAAGAAAGTAGCACTATCAAAATAAGACCAGTTTCTAGCACTACTATCATAGTGTACACCAGAAGAATGTAGGTTCTGACTTTGGGCTTCTACATAATTGGCTAAATATGCAACAGAGTAATCAATAATTTGCTGGGGGGATTGAACCTCTTCTTTCAGGTGAGCTTTGTTCCTATTATACCATACTGACCATGCTAGAGGCCATAACATATTCACATCGTGAAAAGGATGATAATCAACAACAAAGATCACCCACTCCTAAATGGTATGTATCTCATCTTGGAGAATGTTGATATTCGAACAGAGCCACACTTCCAACATAAAAGGAAACTTTAGGAAGAGGTGTGAAACAGTTTCTGGAGCTGATCCACAGAAAAAACACAAGTCATCCACTAGAACTTTCCTCCTTTGAAGATTGTAGATGGTTGAAAGAATATCATGGAACACTCTCCAAATAAATGTTTAATTTTATTAGGAATATTCCACAACCAAATGAATTGCCCATTCCATAAAACTTCACTGCTACTAGCCTCATCGATCCTCTTGTTGTCCATGATCATATGGTGTGCACTACGAACATTGAACTGTCCTAAATTTGTGTATTGTCATACCAGACAATTGTTGGGTAAGTCTTGGCAAACTGGAACTCAGAAAAGATCATTAAGCACATCTACATACCCACTCCTGGAAATAGGATCTATTAAATGGCTAACCCATATATCATCTCCAGATCGTTAAGAGAGTTGATAGGTTTAAAAACCTATTCTTGAGTATCCAATTGTCACCCTTTATGAGAACACTTGTCCCATTCCCAATTATCCAACGTGTACCAAAAGCTGTAACATTTTGTCGCATAAATGCTCCTCCAAGTGAATGACGGGTTACTACCCAAACACGCTTCCATAATTGAAGAGTTTGGGTAATACTTGGCCTTATAAACTTAACCAACCAGGGACGAGGGATTTTGCAATAACCTCCAAACTTGCTTGGCTAGAAGTGTTTGATTGAACACCTCAATATTTCTAAAACTCATTATACCATGTGACTTAGGACGACATAGTTTCTCCTAACTCATCCAGTGTAACTTCCATGTTGTGTCAGTGCCTCCCCACCAAGAGTTTGCCATAAGGCTATTTGGTTCAGACATAATGTCGTAGGAAGTTTGAAACATGACATGGCGTAGGAGGGAATGGCTAGGACAACAGATTTGACAAGGATTTCTTTACCTGCCTTTGAGAGCATCTTCTGTTGCTAGCCTTTTGATGTTATGCCACACTCTTTCACGAATAGAACCAAAAATAGCCCTCTTGGTTCTAACAACCACAAAAGGTAATCCCAAATATTTATTGCGACTCTCAACCACTGATATCTGTAATAAATTTGACAGCTCATCAATCAACTCTGGAGGAGTGTTCTTACTAAAGACCAAAGCCGGCTTAGAATAGTTTATAGCTTGCCCAGATGCTCGCTTATAAATCTGGAGACAATCCTTAATCACCTGACCATTCTCGTTGCTGGCTCTAGCATACGAGAGGCTATCATTGGCGAAGAACAGATGAGTGAAAGCAGTGCCATTTCTGCTGGAAGCCAACCCTTGTAAAGTACTAAATTTTTCCTGTTGCTCAATAGTCCAGACAAACTTCACAACAAAGAAGGAAGAGATATGGCGAAAGAGGATGTCCTTGCCACAAACCGCTCGAAGGCTTGATGAATCCCATTTACTCACGTTAATAACAAAAGAATATGAAACTGACCTTACACACCTCATAACCATATGTAGCTATTTTCCATCAAAATTGAACATGATAGCCTCTAGAAAATTCCATTACACCCTATCGTACACTTTACTCATGTCAAGTTTCAGAGACATAAATGCTTTACCACCTCTTCTCTTCATCTTCAGTTGGTGGATCAACTCGTACGCTATTAGGACATTATTTGTGATGAGCCTACCTAGGGCAAACGCACTTTGAAACTTTGAAATAGCCTTGGATAGAATAAATTTCAACCTATTGGCAAGGACTTTAGCAATTAACTTATAAACGATGTTACAAAGACTGATTGGCCTGAATTGAGACATATTCTCTAGATGTTTGACCTTTGGAACCAAAACAATGTTTGTGTAATTAAGTCTTGGACAAGGGTTATCTGAATTCAGAAAATTCAAAACCACATTGGTAACATCACTTCCCACAATGTGCCAATACTTCTGGAAAAAAACAACTCCCATACCATCTGGGCCTGGCGCCTAATTAGGATGCATCTGATTGAGAGCATTAGCAACTTTCAGAGCATGAAATGATTGAAGGAGGACATTGTTCACAAGAGATGTAACCTTCGGATCCACACATTAAAGAACTCTTGCAAAATCCTGTTGTGACGGATGGACAGTATTGAAAAGTTGTTGGAAATACCCAACTGCAATGTTCCCAATCTAATCCTTATCTGTGACCCATCGACCATCATGACCAGAAAGACCTAGAATGGTGCTTCGTTGTTTCCTGATACTAGCTTGGCTGTGGAAATAACTTGTATTTATATCCCCCTTTTGCAGCTAGAGAGATTTGGCCCATTGTCTCCCCATTATTTCTTCTACATCTAGCAAACTATCAATTTGTTGGTGTATGGCTTTGAACTTCTCTCTATTCTCCTCTGCCATTATATCACTTTGCACTGTACTCAGCTACTCTCTAACCTTTGTGAAACCCGAGCATACATTCATAGTACATAAATAAAAAAATATTAAAATTTTGGATTTTGGGTAATTATCAAACTGCTACTGCATGGCAGCAAGACCCAAGCTGCTGCCTGGTAGCAGCAAGGCTTTCCCCTCCATTCTGCAAGCCTCTAGAAGCTTTTAGGAGGGACTTGAGTCTTCACCCATCATCTGGAGAGGATAGAATCAGTAGAGAGGAGAGAGAGAAGAGAGAGGTGTAGAGAGAGAAAGCTCACTTGAATTTTTAGATTTTCTTTGGATGCCTATTCGAATGATCAAAGGTATACCTCTAGCTCAATTAGGATGCTAGAAGTTCATTAGTGTTATTATAATTTGATTTGGTTTAGTGGTTTTATTTGAATGTTAGTTTTGAAACCGAGGTAGGGTTTCAATGGTCTTGGGAAATCAAACCTTGTTAAATTTTGTGTTTTGATGTTGGGGGGGTATGGTCCTAGACTAAAATGGACCCAAGGAACCCATTTCCCCCATTATTTTTGGGTTTAAAGGTTGTTAAGTGGGTGCAAACCTGAGTTACAGGTCTGACCATGTTTAAAACTTCTTATTTTTCGCCAACTTTGGTTCAAAATTTGGATAGGTTAGAGGTTAATTCAAGGTGTCTCACCTATGGGGTTTTACAGAAGGGTATGAGTAGAGTTAGTAGGATTTTAAAATAGAGCAAAAGGTGTATTTTGGAGTGAGAAATAGACATGAGAAGTAGGGTCCCCAAGATAAAAAGTGGGGAAGCTCGGGTTTCTTGAGGAAGAAGATGAAGCGGGTCAAGAGGACCACTGGATGCCCCGATGGCGAGTGAGGGCATGTCTAGGGTCCGACCGTCTTCTATTTGATTCCAAAAGTTTCATAACGTCTATGCGGAGGTCTTGATAAAATTTCAAGTCGATATACGACTGGATCAAATGAGGAGGAAAATGACAGTTTTGGCCTCCGGGCCCAATTTGACACAATTTTTGGGTGATTTTGGAAAAATAAATTTTATATTAATTCTTAGGTAGGTTAATTGAGTATGGGTATGAAATTTCATTGAAAAATAATATCATTTTATTTTTTGCTATTTCGATCAAAAAACAATGCAGGGTAAGGTTTTTCAATTTTGGATGAGTCGAAACTTTTCAAATTCATTTTGAAATCATGCCTTACATTATTTATGAATTTTTAGCATATTTTAAAACTTATGATTGAGTTTTTGAATTTGAGCTGGAAATCATAGATCCAGGACGATAGTTTTGAGTGTAGTAATGTACAGTGGTCTGAAACGATAGATTTGACTGTATAAAATGAGATACCAGAATTCTTTCAAATTAATTGTAAGTGCACATAATTTGAGTGGCAAAAAAGGTTTACGTTCTAGTTTGAGGTACTAATGGGTACTCATTGAGTTCATAAAAGCTTGAGTGACCAGTTGGTCTTTGGACTTTGAGTGTTGAAATTAAGTTGCGGTGAATACGAAACGTCACAAAATATATTCATATGCATTCATTTGCATCAGTTAAGTTATTTTTGATTCTATAATTATTTGCATTCATTCATATGTTAACTGTTAGAGTCGGAGGCTACTACCTCAGTTACATATAGGGATCGACTATAAAGGAGGGGTATATATCAGCGGTAAAGGTGAAGTGTACTGCTTCATAATAATTCAAAATAAAAGTATATGATATATCAAACTTATTCTCTTGTATGTGTTGAGTTGCTTAAACTATAGATCAATTGTGTTTTTATGAAAAATTTGTGATTTGGGTATTA